CACTGGTATCTGTCCTCACCCCTCGTGTCGTTCCTTTGGATTCATTTTTCTTTGTCATGGAGTTCATTTCCCAGAAATACTTTCAGCGATGTCTGTTGTAAACTGTTAATAAAAAAAATCTTTGAATTGATTAAAATGCCTGTCGTCTCCCTTCCACGTGAATGACGTTAGGGGGCACATCCTCGATGCTTCGGTGTCTTCCCCTTCAGAACACGGAGGGGGGCGAGCCTCCCCCTCCTTGCTGCCCGGAAAGCTGATGTCAACCTGAAACTTATTCCTTAGTGGGTAGTTTACTGATTGTTCTTTTCCTCCTTAAATATTTAAGCATTTGATCATCAGGAGATTGGGCTGTGACCCGTTTGGGGCTCCATCTGTTCCCCCGCCTTTCAGGGGGCAGCTCATTCACGCTTGGAAAGTTCCCGACGTCCCGCTCTGTGCTTCCTCTCCTGGGGACGCCCATTCAACCGTGACTCCAACTTCTGGATCCATGCTCNTCCTGGGGACGCCCATTCAACCGTGACTCCAACTTCTGCATCCATGCTCTGTTCTCTTACTTACTTTAAAAAAAATTTTTTTTAAATATTTTTATTGATTTTTAGAGAGAGGAAGGGAGCAGGAGAGAGAGAGAAACGTTGATCAGCTGCCTCCTGCACGCCCCCTAGTGGGGTGAAGCCTGCAGCCGGGACACCTGCCCTGACCCGGAATCGAACCGGCAACCTTTTGGTGCACCGGCCGCCACAGCGGCCAGGGCTTTCATTTACTCTTTTACACCTTTCTTTCTCTGCCCTTTCGCGCTGCCCTCCAGGAGGGCTCCTCGTGTCAAACTTTCCACTCACGGGTCTGCACTCTAGTTACCTCCGCTGCGCCGGGCATCCCATCGATCACGTCTAATTTTAACACAGCTCCTTCCTCAGAGCCATAAGTGGCTCTTGGTGATTCTGGTGTGTCCTGGCGTGACTGAGAACGTGGACCTCGTTCTTTAAACTGCCTCCGGCTCTCCCTTGGCCGCCGTGTTCGCGCCGTCGGTGCCCCCGGAGCTTGCCGTCAGGGCTGGCACTCCTCTCTGCTCTGAGATGCCCTCTGCCCGTCAGTCGGCGCCATGGCCCTGACTCCTCGGCTTGCTGGGAGACGTGGGCTGTCGGGTGCTCTCCTGGGCGGGAGTCTTCCTGTGCGATGGCGTCGCCTGGCGCCAGCCCTGCCTTTCCTGCTGGGCCCGTCGCAGCTCCTCCCCAGGGCGGCCCTGTCCCCAGCTGCCTCGCTCACCTGGAGGCGCCGCTCCTCCTGCAGGTACCAGCCCCGCCTCCGTGGCCGTGGCTCCAGCTGCTCCCTGGACCAGCTGCCTCCAAGCTTGGAGGGAACACGAGGCCCTCTCCACTTTTTTAGGGTTGATTTTCTTACTTTTTTTTCACGTCTCTGTCCTTTAAAGAACCCACATAACTTCTGTGCCCTGAAGTCCCCTTCCTCATTTTTTAGGTACCATTAGAGACTTTTTTCGACCCTCCCCTCCAGCAGTCAGGCCACGGCTGTCCTCACTCCTTTGTTGGGTAGAGATTTTTAAAATAAGTGTCCTATTTCTATTACTCCTATGAATTTGTTCTACGAGAGGAAGGCCTGGGCCTGTGCTCAGACACTGATCCATTTCCTCAGGACGTTTTCTGAGTCTTCTTCGTGGTCATGTATCCTTATGGTCTGGGGTGAAGACCTTGGCGCAGATGTTAGCCAGCCACCGATGATTTCCTTCTGCAGGTGGCTGTCGCTGTTTCTTAATTGAAATCTTAGTTTCTTCTCACCCTTTCCTCCCCCCTTTCCCTTCCTGAACAATTCGGTCTGAAGGGCCTTAGGCTGCCCAGCTTGTGGGGCTCGGTGGTTGAGCGTTGACCTATGAACCAGGAGATCAAGGTTCGATTCCTGGTCAGCGCAGGTGCCCAGGTTGTGGGCTCGATCCCTAGTAGGGGGCGTGCGGAAGGCAGCCGGTCAATGGCTCTCCCATCGAGAGCGCCACCTTGGCACACAGTGGGTGTGGACCCCGAGGGCGAGGAAGGCGTTGGCATGGGAGTTGTGCCCAGCACAGGGCCCTGTTGGCAGTGTCGGAACCCAGACTGGGTGAGGAGGGGCCCAAACATGGGAGTCCAAGGTCATGGCAGCAACAGGTGTCACACCTGGGGCGGGATGGAGGGGGCACCCTTAGTGGGAAAGTCAGAACTTGAGCACAGCCGGGAGGATCCGCACAGGGCACCCTGGCATTTCCCACCAGCCCGAGGAGGGTGGGAGCAGCACTCACACGGGACAGCGACCACTGTGGGAAGCGGGAACCTGAGCTACATGGGGGTAATGGCCCAGGGAGGCATCGAGCTCAGGCAGGGTGGGGAGTGTCTGCCAGGGAAAGAGGCCAGCAGCAGCCAGAAGGTGGCTACACACAGGGAAGATCCAATAAGGACACTTATTCAGGGTAACGGGAGAAAACTCATTAAGGACGATTTTCACTCTTGGACACTGGAGGTAGAAATACGAAAACTAGAATGAACTGTTTGACTTTGGACTGGGATTGGAGGCATCGTGGGAACTCACCCGTTTTAATCCAGATGATGAAGGCGTGTGCTTGTGTGGACTCTGTCCACCGAGAGGGCCTGGGCCCAGCGNCTGACTCCTCGGCTTGCTGGGAGACGTGGGCTGTCGGGTGCTCTCCTGGGCGGGAGTCTTCCTGTGCGATGGCGTCGCCTGGCGCCAGCCCTGCCTTTCCTGCTGGGCCCGTCGCAGCTCCTCCCCAGGGCGGCCCTGTCCCCAGCTGCCTCGCTCACCTGGAGGCGCCGCTCCTCCTGCAGGTACCAGCCCCGCCTCCGTGGCCGTGGCTCCAGCTGCTCCCTGGACCAGCTGCCTCCAAGCTTGGAGGGAACACGAGGCCCTCTCCACTTTTTTAGGGTTGATTTTCTTACTTTTTTTTCACGTCTCTGTCCTTTAAAGAACCCACATAACTTCTGTGCCCTGAAGTCCCCTTCCTCATTTTTTAGGTACCATTAGAGACTTTTTTCGACCCTCCCCTCCAGCAGTCAGGCCACGGCTGTCCTCACTCCTTTGTTGGGTAGAGATTTTTAAAATAAGTGTCCTATTTCTATTACTCCTATGAATTTGTTCTACGAGAGGAAGGCCTGGGCCTGTGCTCAGACACTGATCCATTTCCTCAGGACGTTTTCTGAGTCTTCTTCGTGGTCATGTATCCTTATGGTCTGGGGTGAAGACCTTGGCGCAGATGTTAGCCAGCCACCGATGATTTCCTTCTGCAGGTGGCTGTCGCTGTTTCTTAATTGAAATCTTAGTTTCTTCTCACCCTTTCCTCCCCCCTTTCCCTTCCTGAACAATTCGGTCTGAAGGGCCTTAGGCTGCCCAGCTTGTGGGGCTCGGTGGTTGAGCGTTGACCTATGAACCAGGAGATCAAGGTTCGATTCCTGGTCAGCGCAGGTGCCCAGGTTGTGGGCTCGATCCCTAGTAGGGGGCGTGCGGAAGGCAGCCGGTCAATGGCTCTCCCATCGAGAGCGCCACCTTGGCACACAGTGGGTGTGGACCCCGAGGGCGAGGAAGGCGTTGGCATGGGAGTTGTGCCCAGCACAGGGCCCTGTTGGCAGTGTCGGAACCCAGACTGGGTGAGGAGGGGCCCAAACATGGGAGTCCAAGGTCATGGCAGCAACAGGTGTCACACCTGGGGCGGGATGGAGGGGGCACCCTTAGTGGGAAAGTCAGAACTTGAGCACAGCCGGGAGGATCCGCACAGGGCACCCTGGCATTTCCCACCAGCCCGAGGAGGGTGGGAGCAGCACTCACACGGGACAGCGACCACTGTGGGAAGCGGGAACCTGAGCTACATGGGGGTAATGGCCCAGGGAGGCATCGAGCTCAGGCAGGGTGGGGAGTGTCTGCCAGGGAAAGAGGCCAGCAGCAGCCAGAAGGTGGCTACACACAGGGAAGATCCAATAAGGACACTTATTCAGGGTAACGGGAGAAAACTCATTAAGGACGATTTTCACTCTTGGACACTGGAGGTAGAAATACGAAAACTAGAATGAACTGTTTGACTTTGGACTGGGATTGGAGGCATCGTGGGAACTCACCCGTTTTAATCCAGATGATGAAGGCGTGTGCTTGTGTGGACTCTGTCCACCGAGAGGGCCTGGGCCCAGCGGCACCCCAGTGATGAGCACACCCCGACGTGCTCTTTGCTGGGCTGCCACTCCACCCAGGAACGTGCCGTTTTCCCTGGCTGCGTTTTTAAGGTCTGCGGGGCGACCTCTTTCCTTGTTTGGTCGCTGATGCTAACTTGGGTGGTGCCTGACATTCACACGGTCCCCCATCCCCACGGTGAGAACCATTTCCAAGGACCCCGCCTTGAGGCGGTAGCATGGCGCCGAGACCATCCGGATGGTGTAAGCGACTGGACCTAGTCAAGGCCTCTCTCTACACTTTTAAGATTCTGGGGGGCTGGTGCAGAAACCTACTCATCTTGGGCCCCAGGACAGGCCTCATATGTTACGTTCCCTTGCTGGTTAAACCTGCCGCCCAGGAGCCTGGAGTGGTCTCTGCCTTTCTTCCATCTCTCCTTACCCTGCGTGTACCAGTTTATGTACCAACCAGCAAGAGCCAGGGTCACAGGGCACGGGGGCGGGAGACCAAGCCCCAGGTGACCAGGCCTAGGTGGGCGGATCCCTGGCAAATGTGCTGCCACTGCAGTGGCCGACCACCCACCTCCGGGCTCCCGTGACCCGCCACCTTGGGGAGACGCACCCGACGGGCCAAGCACGCACGATGCTCCGAGTCGGCCGACACGGCGGGTCTGTGCCCCCAGCTCTCCTACCGACCCCAGTCTCTCCTCAGTCCGGACGGGGGCTCAAACTCCTTCCCCCAGACTCTAGGGCTTCGGACGGCCCCTGCCAACCCCTCGGAGCGGGCACAGCAGCCGCCGCCTGCCCGCCCGCGTCCGCCCGCCCGAGCGAGGCGGGGAGAAGACCAGCTCACTGCTTTACTGGGAGGGGAATACACTCCGACACAAAGCACGGCTCCGAGCCCAGCACGATCTCCAGCTCGAGGTGCAGCTGGTGGGCCGTGACCCGGTAGCGGCCCTTGATGAAGCCCCGGGAGGTGCAGGAGTGGCACCGCCAGAAGGCCTGGATGATGCGGGCGGCGTGCAGCAGGCGGCAGTAGCGCAGCCGGATGCGCCACATGCGCACCCAGGCCTGCAG